TTGGCCACAGTCTCTGGATTTTGAGTGGAGGCCCCTCAGCCCTGGGCTTCAGCTCCACCTTCCAGGCCCACTGGGACAGCAACTCTGCTCCCTTGGCTTTTGGCACACCACAACTCCACCCTTAGAAACACCAGAGGCCATGGCTCCACCCTGAAACCCCTGAGGTCATGGCCATACATTTTGAGGCTGAAGCAGCTCAGCTTCTTGTGTCCCTTGTCTCTTCCGCTTCTGCTTCCTATGGCCTCTCGGCCCTCGGGTCTCACGCCCACATCTGCCCTGCTGGGGCAAGTGTTCCAAAGCTCAGTAGCTCTACTCTGCCAGGAAGCCTCCTGCGCACAGGCACTCAGCTCCCTCGCTCCGTGGGTCGGCAAGCCTAGCTCCTCCAATAAGTGCCCAGAAGCACCCCACTCCGCCAGGAAGCCTCCTGCTCACAGGCATTCAGCTCTCTCACTCTGTGGGTTGGCTCCAGCGCCGTCTTTCACCAGTCTCCTGGTTCTGCTGCTGTTGGTTCTCTGCTGCTGCTGCTTCTCTGCTGCTGCTGGTCCTCTGTCACGGCCGCACGTCTATCCATTCACAGTTTTAAAACCGCTTCCACATTTTAGGTATCTGTTAAAGCAGCGCCCCACTCCTGGTACCAAATTCTGTCTTAGTCATCTAGTGCTGCCATAACAGAAATACCACAAGTGGATGGTTTTAATGAAGAGAAGGTTATTTCCTTACAGTAAAGTAGGCTAAAAGTCCAAATCCAAGGTGTCAGCTCCAGGGGAAGGCTTTCTCTCTCTCGGCCTTCTCATCAGTGTTGCCCCAGAGTAGGAGCTTCTCTGCACAGGGACCCTGGTGCAAAGGACATGCTCTGCTCCTGGCACTGCTTTCTTGATGGTATGAGGTCCCCCTGTCTCACTGCTCACTTCTGTCTTTTATATCTCAAGAGATTGCCTCAGGACACAATCCAGTCTTGTAGATCAGGTCCTGCCTTACTAACACAACTGCCACCCATCCTCCCTCATTAACATCCTAGAGGCAGGTTTACAACATACAGGAAAATCACACAGTACCAGGAATCATGGCCTAGCCAAACTGATACACACATTTTTGGGGGGACATAATTCAAACCATGACACTGGCATAAGTATAGACACGTAAACCAATGGGATAGAATTGAGAAATCAACTCACACATCTATGGCCAACTGATTTTCTACAAGGGTCCCAAGACCATTCAATGGAGAAAGAAAAGTGTGGGACAGAGAACTTGGTTTGGACTTTATCTCTGGTTTCTGCATAGAGCCCTTGGAACAGCCCAGACAATTAAGATAACTTCTACAGTGGTTGGAAACCTTGGTGGTGTAGTGGTTAAGTGCTACAGGTGCTAACCGAAAGGGCAGCAGTTCAAATCCACCAGGCGCTCCTTGGAAACCCTATAAGGCAGCTCTACTCTGTTCTATAGAGTCACTATGAGTTGGAATCAACTCAACGGTAATGGGTTTGTTTTGCAAAATAGCCAGGCAAGTAGAGGCTACACAGGCGCCACAACTAGTGAACTAACTTCAGGAAGGGAGAGGGGCATGGGAATGCCTATTCACTGATTGAATACTTTATAACTATGCATTAAGGCTCCAGTCATGCATATTCACTGAGGTCTCAATGACTAAGGGACCCTGGACCTTGGAGCTCTCTCTTTCGGGGCTTGCTGGATTTGGTGAGAACATCCACGAATGGAAGAGGGTGGCACGTCCCTGGAAACAATGGAAGCCTTGTGCCAGGAACTCTCCCAGACCTTGACTGATGTGTCTCTTCGCTTGTATCCTTTCCGGTTATAATAAATGGGTAAATGTTAAGAAGCATAGCTGATAGTTTTCGTGAATTTTGTGAGCCATTATAGAAAATATAATATGGGATAATGAGCCAGCAGGGGCTGGCACAACAGAGTTGATTTGTGAAGACCCAGCTCTGGGTGGCTGGGTGACAGAGAAAGGCTGCACAGGCAGCTGATGAAGAAGGACAGAGTCCTTCTAACTTCTGCCCTGGTTCCAGGGGGCTAGAGAGAAAGAGAGGGGCTGGCGGGTCTAAAGTGCAGGGAGTTGTGCAGACTTCTGAGCCTATAGCTGGTATTCAATGACCTGGCCCCCAGTGGCCAGGGATGTTTTGACCTAACTCTAGGCGGTTAGGGTGAGAAAGTGACACAGAGGAAGTGGCTGGTGACAAGGCATGAAGATATGGAAAGGTGAAGCCTAGGTCCATTTCCAGATGGGAACTGGAATCATAGTGATACTTGCCACACAGTTAACGAAAAGGAGGGTTTGCTCATCTTGCCACATTAGTACAGGTAGTTCCTGACTTACGATGTATTTGAGTTATGACAAACCACACATCCAACCATCCTTATTGTTAGTGATATGTACTGTAGAACATTGCAGTATGTAATTTGCTGATGTAATCGTTCTCAGAGGTTCACTCACAGATGTTCAATTTTATGATTTACTGTTTAAAACACTGCCGTATTTATAAAGATACTCATAATAAAAGGCAATAATAATGAAAACTAAAAAAACAGAAGAGGTGTTCGCCTTATGTCACGAGTTGACTTACAACAGAGTCGTTGGAACAGACCCTGTTGTAAGCCAGGGACTATCTGTAGTGCAGTTAGAGACAGCACAAGACTTTTCAACAGAGGGTACTGGGACGATTGGGACAATTGGATATCCACATTCAAAAAGTTGAAGTTAGACCCCTTCCTCACACCATATACAAAAATTAAAATGAATCAAAGACCTAAATGTTAGTGCTAAAACTATATAAAACTCTTAGAAGAAAATATAGATGTAAATCTTCATGACTTGGATTTGGCAAACAATTATTTAGATAAGACATCAGAAGAATAAGCATTGAATGAAAAAATAAATTAGACTTCATCAAAATTAAAAAATTTTTATACTTCAAAAGGACAACATCAAGAAAGTTAAAACACAACTCACAGAATGGGAGAAAAGCTTTGCAAATCATATATCTGATAAGGATTTGTACTTAGAATATACAAAGAACACTTAAAACTCAATAATAAAAAGACAAGTGGCCCAATTAAAAAGCAGGCAAAGGACTTGAGTAGACATTTCTCCAAAGACGATATATAAATGGCCAATATGCACATGAAAAGATGTTCCTCTTGTGAACAAGAAAAAAGTAACAGTGTTATTTATTCCTAAATCAATGCACTCAAGTTGTAAACAACACTTGATGGATCCTGTTGCTTTATTCTGATCCAGAGGACTCCTGGGAGTTTGTGGGTCTTCCACCAGCTTGAGAACAGCCCTGTCCTGGGCGCCTTAGCTATCTCCCCTAAGGTTCCAAGGCTCATCTGTAGAGTCTACAAGACATCCTCAATCCACATTCTCAAAAAACTGACAGCTGCAGGAAGGGAAAAGCAAGGCCCTTGGCCAGAGAAAGCACACAGGTTGCAGACTTGTCATCAGGCCCAGGACAAGCGAGAGCTCAGGGGCTGATGGGCAGCTCAGCACACATATGGGGAGAAGGAGCTTCTCTGCGTTTTGCTACTGCCTTTTTTTAATTTACCTAGCTCCTTCTAGAACAGGGCTTCTCAGCTGTTTTAGTGTCTGGTGAAATCTCTGGCAATCTAGTGAAGTCTAGGGACCCCCCTGAGAACAACATTTTAAATACATAAAGTACTACGTCAAATTACTATGTCAAATACCAAAATATTTTTAAAAAACAAATTTATTCCAAGCAATACATAACAGTGAACAGAATGATGTTGTGAGAGGTCTGCAACAACACAGTGTGAAATTAGAGTAGATTTCTGTTGGAGGAAGGTTCTGGGTACTGCTGACTCTAGTGTCGCCTACATTTGTTATGGAAGGAAGTGCTAAATTCCAGTTAGGGGTGACTAAAAGTACACACATAATTTTTTTTCCTATCCAAGTTCACAGTGCCCATGAATTTCCTCCACAGAACCAGAAAGAATAGCGCTTCCTAAGAAATTTTCCCAGCTCACCCTTGACCTAAGTTCTGGGGTCAGGAAGCCACTCCCACTCAGCCATGAGTGTGCAGGAAGCACTGGCTGTGGGGTCCAGGCTGCCCCGGGCAAGGCTGCCAGGAAAGGGATGTTGACTCCCATTCTGAGGCTGCTTAAACGGAAGTGCAGCAGCAGGCCCGGGGTCCTGGTCCCAGACCCGGGATCCTGGCCCCAGACTAGGGAGTACACCCCCATCAGAACAGGGGCTGGGCACTGGAGCTCTGCTTCATACCAGGCCGTGGGGCAGGCCAGGGTGCACAGGCTGTGTGGGAGAGGGCCAGGCCCTCAGCTGGCTGAGACATAATAAACTCAGGGAAATTCTATTTAAAAGTTAAAGTAGTGTATTATCACCCGGCCCTAGGAAAACTTACCCATATCATTTGGGAGAAACTTTAGCTACTCTTTTTTTTTAATAGACCATTTTTAAGAGGAATTTTAGGTTTATAAAAAAACTGTGCAGAAAGTAGACAGCTGTTGTTTGTCCCCTCCCTCCTGCACAGTTCCCATTATTAACATCTTGCACTCCTGTGGTACTGTTGTTACAACTGATAAACCAATATTGATGCACTATTACTAACTCAAGTCCACAGTTGACTTTAGGACTCACACTGCTTGTTGTATACTCTATGGGTCTGACAAATGCACGTGTCCACCAGCATCATACAGAATAGCTTCACTGCCCTAAAAATGCTTGTGTTCCACAACCCATCCTCCTTCCTCTCTCCCTGGGCCCTGGCAACCACCCATCTTTTCACTGTCTCTACAGTTTTGCCTTTTCCAGATGTCAAGTAGTTGGAATAATACAGTATGTAGCTTTTTCAGACTTAGTCACTCTTTTCATGTCCCCAGTTTTTCTGCTTTAACAGTAAGGAGTAGCTAGTGAGAAACAAAAGTTCTTGGGAACAAAACCCCCAGGTTTGTGTTATGAGTTTAAGGTGCCCAGTCTGCTCCAGGAGTGGCACCAGCCCTACCTTTGTTAACGCATAAGCCAGCGTCCCATCATCTTCAGTAGAAAGATCAAGCAACTTCTGATAAAATGCTTCATTGTAAGGCCCATCTATTTGTAATGTTTTTCTGAAGGGGAAAAGCAAAAAAAAAAAAAAAAAAAAAAAAAGATAACAGAGATGCCTGAAAACTGTTTCTTAAACTGTTAATAAGTTTAATTTAAAATTCACACATTTAGTTTTAAAGAACACCTAATGTATTCATCAAAGAGCCCTGGTGGTACAGTAGTTAAGCGCTCGGCTGCTAACCAAAAGGTCGGCAGTTCAAACACGCTAGCCGTTCTGCGAGAGAAAAATGTGGCAGTCTGCTTCTGTAAAGATTACAGCCTAGGAAGCCCTATGGGGCAGTTCTCTGTCCTATAGGGTCGCTATGATTCAGAATCGATTTGACGGCACACAACAACAACAACGATGTACACATTTCTTGCTAAAGGAAAAATTTGTTCTGGAAAAGCACCAAAGTTTAAATAGAATCCAGCAAAACCAGAACTTTGGGAGGCCTAGAAGCTGAGCTTCCTCCTGTCTGTGACTAATGGTACCTGAGGTTAGAGGTGTCCGCTAGTGCTGGCAGGGGGTGCAGGAGAGAAGTCCAGGCCAGGACAGTGACCCCAGCACCTGCCACCCCTCAGTGACCCCCAATTCAAGGCAGGTCCAGGGACCAGAGACTCAACTCATGAGGGGCTCCGCTCTCCCTAGAGACGGACCAACTGAGAGTTCAACCTCAGAGACCTCAGCCAAGGAAGCAGCTCTCATATGTGGAACAACACTGCCCTCTACAGGCAGGTGGAGATACCGAGGGAGGGACAGAACAGCCCAATTTTGGAAATGTTAAGTTCACAGAATGTGCTTTCTTTTCTAGAAATGGATAAATAACAACTAATGTGGTAGTGACCCCTGGTCCTCCTTCACAAGGCCCAGATGCAAGGAGCAGGGTGTCTGAGGGGAAGGGCGGTATCCTCGTCAGAGGGAGGTGTCCCAGGACGTGCTGTCAGACTCCCCACAGCCCCACCCTCAGAGCTGCCTGGGACGAGCAAGGCGCCACGGCCTATGGCTCACCTCTGCTCAGGAAACTCCTGCAGGTACCGCTCCACCCGGCTGTACAGAGGGTAGAGGCCCTCGATGTCCAGCATGTCCAACATCTGCACCTGGAGGGTTTTGTACAGAAGACAGCCCTTCGGTAACCCCGAGTGCTCCGGGGTGTTTTTTCCTACCAAGAACATCAGGGGAAAACAAGACGTTTATTATCCAAGAGTAAAGACTGAAGATGAGTTCCTGGATGCCCCAGACAGGCGAGGGAGCCGGCCTCGCAGTGAAGAGAGAGCACAGCCACCCTTCGAGCACCCGCCACAGGGGTCATGTGAGCACCCCAAGAGGCCTGGCCTGCCAGGTACAGAGTGCTGCAGGGAGGTGCCCACCTGTGTGTGATGGATGGACAGACAGGGCTGCGTGAAATCAAAGGCCAGAAGCCCAACCCGCTCCCAGTCAGCCTGTCCTGCTCAGGCCATCCTTTACACTTCATCACACCAGCCCCAAAGTCACTTCTGATTTATGTTTAGAAAGAGATGATCCTCACACTACAGAAACCAACGCACAAAATTTCACACAGCCACAACGACACCCCCAAATTTGCAAATACCACTGCCACAGTACAACACCCCACGCACCACACCTGCCGAGTCCAGAGCACAAACCCATGCTGAGAGGTGGCACTGCGTGCCGGGCTGGCGCAGGCACGGGTCACGGCCCCATAACACTGTGGTCAGGGTCCCCAGTGCTAATCCTGTACCGAGGCCCTGCCCTCATACTGACAAATACGGAAACTAATGTGACTCAACAAGCAGGTCTTAAGTTCCTAATATGTACAAGGCACCCTACAAGGCTTCTGAGGGAGCTAACCATCTCATGAAGAAACAGACAACTGCAGGCGATAACAGGTAATTGCTGTGGGAAACAACCACAGCCGTCCGTGCTCCTGAGCACTCGGACAGTCCTGGCTGGCCAGGCCCTGCTCCAGACCCACCTGAGCCCTCCACATCGGGCTATGCTCAGCCGCTCAAGTGCCAGAGCAACAGGGGGAGTGTGAAACCTGCAGGACACCCACACAGTGGAGGACTTCACGATCAACACAAGTTAAAAATACAGATACAGATTTATGCTAATTAAGGGGAAAAGGTCAGTTACAAAATAATACACAGAGCATAACCTTGCTGTTTTAAAAACTGTCTGCCCTGTAGGCATCCTGTCCAGTGTTCCTGCACAACCAAGGTGCCCTCCACCAGGGGCACAGTGCTCACTCACCTAGGTGGTAGGAGCTGAGGGCTTCCTGAGAGCTGGCATGGGCGTGCCGTGCGTGCCCACAGAAGAGAAACACCTCCCCAAGACCTCCATAGCAACCAGGGTCTTACTGCCCTTCCAGAGATATGCTGTTTATTTAAAAGCATTTATGTTCCCAGAATATGGGTATGATCTTATCAAACTTTTTGGAAATGATCGTGTATCACACTTTTCTAACAAGGGAAAAAAAATTAATTTGCGTTAAGAAAAAATCAGCATGAGGTAGTGGCACAGACAAGGAGCAAGCAGCACATCTGTGGGGAGGGCGGCCCCAGAAGGCCGGCTGCCACCTCCCCAAGGACGCCACAGGCAGGTGTGGCGTGGGGGACAGGCTGGGCACTGGTGAGTCCCATGAGCGGGCTGCTCCTTCAACTTCAGACCATGTTCTCAGACCCGGTGCAAGACCCCAGGCGTCTTTAGCACAAAAACTGAACAACCAGAGTCTTTCTAGTTGGTTCAAAAGAATAAGTTAATGGCTATGGCTCTCACATCCAAAATGTTAATAAAGTTGTGTTGTCTAGTGGCCGATGACAAAGAGGACAAACGAGAAGCCAACAATTATTAAAAGGAAAAACTCAAGCCAGCCCATCTGATACCCTGATACCCTGAGCTGGGTATCATTCCTGGCACCACACTGCACCCAGACCCCATGCCCTCAAGCAATGGCTGCTCCACTGGGAGAAGCACCACGCACAGCAGCCACCCTTTGGCCACCTTGAAAGGGTGGAGTCCCTGTGGCCTGAGCCCAGGGCTCGGCCCTGTTCCTGCTGAGTCACACACTCCTGGCAACACGCAGGCCCTTGGCGTATGAGTCTGAGGCCCCTGTATCATCAACACTGTTTGGAGACCACTGCCCGGGGGAGGCTCACTGCCAGCTCAGAGACCAGCCTTAAGGAACTTTCTAGCTGTGGGACAGTTCCCTTCATTTGAAAAACAGTGTTAATGAAAAACTATCCTCAGGGTGGCAATGAGGATGCAATATGGTCGAAAATACTCTAAATCACAAAGAGGATATACAGATATATGGGATAATATATATCCCAAAGGTGTCCTACAATTTATAAACCCAGATCACAGACAGGAAGGGGGAAGCCTTCCAATGTGGGTACGAGAGGCAACGAGGCTGCTCTGAAGAAAACCCATCAGACCTGGGGCAGGGTCCATGGGCCCTCTCCCTAGGCCGTGTGTGCAACTCTGCTCTCACTGCCCCACCCCAGGGTCACCACCGGGGGATGGGGCCTACCTTGACAGTGCAGCTGCCTGCTGAAGGGGCTGGCTTCGCAGGCTCGAAGGCCCTGTGTGCCGGGCACAGCTCTCCAGGTGCCCAGCCGGCTCTTGTCGGTGTCACTCAGCAGCACCCACGTGAGGACGTGGACTAACTCGCGGATGACAGCCCTCGTGCAGTGCGGCCCGCTGGCCAGGCCGTTGGAAGGGAAGAAGAAAGGCTTCAGGTGGTGCGCGAGCTCATTCCAGTCAGTCACCGAGTCCCGTGCTTCCTTGCCGCCATAGATCAATTCACCATTCTTCAGGAGGGGGAAAAGAGACAGGGAGACGTCAGCTCCCACAGACACCGAGACAGACACCTTCATCCCAGTGCCAGCGGGGTGCAACCCACAGTGCCTAGCGTTCTCAGTCTGCCCCTGTACACAGCTTCCCCCACAGCTGGTCTCTATGCGGAGAACCGTCCATGAGCCCAGGGTCACAGGGTCATTGGCCAAGAGACAAGTCCCAGTAGGATGTACAGCGGGAGAAGTGTTCAAGAAGTGAAGCTCAGTGCTCTGGCCTGCAACACACTTTCCACATTACTGAAACAGTAAGCAGACCCTCGCAGCACACAAGCAATAAATGCTCACACGAAGCAGCCGAGCTGGCCATGTAATAGCATGAGTGACATATGGTTTGGTCAAGGGCAAGGGAGAGCAGTTCTTATCCTGAGCAAGCAGGTGCTCTTCTCTCCGCCACCTGGAGGTGTCACCACCATCTTAGCTGAGGCTTCTGCAGACTCCAGACTCAACGCCACAAAGACTCACGCCTGAGCCAGCCCCTCCAACATGCACAAGGGGCTTCACTGCCTCTCCTGCTGCCATCAGGCTGGGCCAAGCCTCCTCCCGCACCTCCTCAGCCCCATGGTGTTCCAGTGGTCCAGAAGCCACTTGTCATACTTGAGGCCACTTGTCACACCTGTCATCCTCTCCACATGGCACCAGACTTGTCTATGTGACCAACAGCACACAGCAGAAGGAACAGCGTGTCACTCACAAGACTAAGTTATCAAAGACACAGTGACTCCATCTTGGCTGAGTTCTTCCTCAGGTCACAGCCGCCACGCTGAGCAGCACCTGGCTCAGGACCTCCAGATGACAGAAGCTTCACAAGAGGCCCTGGGCCACAACCAGCCACACAGCTCCTGAGCCTGGCTATAAAAACTCCGAGATAATAAATGCTGTTGTTTTAAGCTGCTAAGCTCGGGGCAGTAGATAGTGTGGGTCGATTTAACCCAACAGGAGGTGTGGACAGTGTGCTCTCTGACTGCATCCTGGGATTCAGCAGCGCAGAGCCTGTCCTGGAAGCCCCATGTCGGGGGACAGCTGGAGCTCACAGAAGTGGGTGCCAAGGATGATGGGGACACAACTGAGACAAGCACTGGCCGCGCTTGGCAGATCAGGCAGACCATCGAGAAAAGCATGAGGAGGGTTTGACAGCAGACAGAGGGAGAGCAAATGCTCCTGAGTCAGAGCACCTATGACAGCAGCGTGGTGAAGCCAGGGCCGCGGGGGCAGAGCCGGGCCACAGGGGCGGGTACTGCAGCAGCCCAGCCCAGGGACAGCCCACAACAAAGTGTACCTTAAAGGTGAGCCCAGCCTTCTGTCACTGGCTCTGTGCCGCAGCTGAGCCAGAGCCCCGTGGAGGGCAGGGTGCGCTGAGCGACTCCTTGGGCGGCTGAGGGGTCATGGTTTGGCACGCAGGGATAGTGCAAGGCTGACATCAGGGCTAAAGGACATCACATGTCCACAAGAGAACGCCAGCAGTGTTTCCCACACTGAGCAGAGGGCAGCCCCTTGACGATGGCAGCCACGGCCCCAGCCCTGAGGCTAGCATTAGGGTGGGGAGCACCACCGATGGGTGGCTCTACAGACGGCAGACATAGACAGTTTCAACAACGTGCAGCAGAGCAGTGGCGTGAGGGACCGCTCAGCCACAATCAGGGCAGCTGTCCCTCCCCCAGAAGCCCCACATCAGTGAGGCTCTGGGAGTTTCTGCTGTGCTGTTTCAGGGGTCGCAGGGGTGAGCTGTACGTCCCACCAGGACAATGACCTGTGTCACTTCTCCTCTTGATCTCTCTCTGAAAAAGGTGACCTAGTCCTCTGGATATTTTCACAGTTGCAGAAGCAGCAGGGTTCTCATCTCCGGCCCAGGCCAGGGTGCGGGCTGCCCCAGCGCCCCGGGAGCCCGCCACGCCTGGGAAGCACGGCCAGCATCAAGGTAGTATGTGGGCACAGCCAGGCCCAGGCAGCAATCCCAGGGAGAAGGGAATTTATCTTTGGGATTTAGTTATAAAATCCCTAAGTCCTTTGAAGAACTAAAAATAAAACTTGATTTTTTATTTTAAAATGTCTCCCTTCTCTGGATGAAGTGGTGAGACACCACTCGAGCCACGCTCTCGGGGCGCGGCCACAGCACACGGCGCAGGCAGCAAGCTAAGGTGGCGTTCACATTCCTAAAGGATTTTAAAAACAAACAAAGAGCGTCACACCACATGGGCTCTGACCCTTCACAGAAAAGCCTGACCACCTTGGAGCTTTGCAGCTGGCTGGTGGCTGGGCTCTCAGGGGCCCTGTGAGAACAGCCATCCCTCCACGGCCAGACCCAGGACCCAGGGTTTCTGAGCAAGGTGACAGTGAAGGCAGTAGGGGCCAGCCTCCCCGCCCACACCATTCACCTCTGAGCACCACTCCAGATCAGAGCACCCCTTCAAATGCAAGAGGACAAATTCTCCTCTGTACACATAACCATGCCAAGATCAAACAGGAGCTTTAACAGGAGGCACCCACGTGATGGCCCTGTTTTTTCAGATGGGTCTGGGGCCACGACAGCCACAAGAGCAGGCAAATGCCCTCCGCCATTCATGCTCCAGGATGGGCGTGTCTGAGCACCTCTGCTCCTGGAGGAAGCCTGGGCCCTTCACAAATGGTCACTTATGCTTCATGTGGTGTGGAATCAGTGGAGAGCAGGTGAAGAGATGACAAGCCGAAGGAACATACCCTCACATGGTACAGCTGGGATGCCCTCTGGCTGAGGAAGAGCCACTGTCCCCCACAGAGCCCTGCAGGCATCACCCCTCTCACCAGGGTCTCCTCCAGAGCCCTGCGGGCATCACCCCTCTCACCATTGTCTCCCCTGCAGGCATCACCCTTCTCACCATGCCTGTTCCCCTTCACCTTTTACCCCCTCCTCCCCTCACCTCCTTACTCCTTCATCCCTCATCCCCTACCTCCTTATCCCTTCGTCCCTCCTCCCCCACCTCCTTACCGCTTCATCCCCTCACCTCATCCCTTCATCCCTCATCCCCTTACCCCCTTACTCCTTCATACCTCCTCCCCTCATCTCCTCAACCCTTCATCCCTCCTCCCCTCATCTCCTCACCCCTTCATCCCTCATCCCATCACCTCCTTACTCCTTGCCCTCACTTCCTCACTTCTTACCCCCTCTCTGTGTGGATGCCCCAGTTCCCACCCTGGATGCTCTACCTCCCTCTCTTCCTCTCCTCAACCTTGCCCCACCCTTCCTCCAAGGCCCCCTCGTGCTGCTATAATGGCCAGGAAGATAGACAGAAGGACACAGCATGGGCCTGGTGGGATGGGGTCAAGCTGCCCTTGTCCAGGCAGGACAGCACCATGCTCCCTGGAGGCCCCAGGACCATGGGGTTTCACCAAGAGCCTCAGGCCAAGGCACTAGGCCCATAAGCCAGGGCACAGACCTAGGGACAGAAAGATCTGTGCGTACCTGGCAGTTAGTACCGGTGGAGTGGGGCCTGGAGAAAGGGCTCTGAGGACACAGAGGTTCCCAGTACGAGTACAAAGCCCTGGACTAACTATAACGAGCAGGGCTGGCAAGGCACCGGGGCTGCCACGGTGAGGATGCAGACGCCCATGGCCGTCCCCGAGACAGCCCCGCCAACCTGCTCATCCCCAAGGCCACAGGCCCCTTGTCAGGCTTAAAGAAGCACCCACTGGTCCCCACCCCCAAGAAACTGCCATAAAATAGAAGGAACTCTTACCTTGAATATCTTTAAGTTGTTCTGTGCCTCCTGCAACAAACTTTTCAAGGCAAAGTGCATTCTTTGTTTATTTCTAAAAGGGGAAAGTATTATTGATATAACTCAAAAGCAGTTTAAATTGCCTTTTGAACATTTCTGACGTGTTACAGGAAGTACACTAAGGACGTCAGGGAGGCCTGCTCAAGGGTCTCTGGGACTTTGCTCAGCCACTGGAGGCTGGCTCAGAGCATGAGCCTGAAAAGACACCCTTGCCCGGTGCAGGAGGAGCCACTTGCAGCAGAAGCTAAGGCTACTGCAGGCTTTTTCATATCTCCAGAGGCGTGAGAGACCAAAGGCTTAAACAAATGAATTTTGATGTTCCAGATGGAGGAAGGGTAAGGGATTAGGGTCAACTGGCTTTTGGCATTAGTGGAAGAGAAACCCGGACATGATCTGGATTCTAAGGGGAAAACCACTAAGTAGGCAATGGCCTCAAGTCTGTGATCACAAAGGCAGAGCCTGGCATATCTGAAACACTGATGGGAACATCAGCATGGGGCCTTTACATGGTGTCACCCCCACCACTACAGAGCCTTGTGCGAGGGGTCAGACAAGAAACATTTTCTTACCCTGAGTAGAGATCGAGGGGACAGTATTTACTTATCTGCTTCCACTTTCCAGTTGCTACCTGTGAAAAAACAACACAAAGCATGAGACAAGATGTGACAAGACTGCATGAGTGGTCACACAAGTATCGAGGCAGCTACAGCCAAGCCCTGGGACACAAGAGTCCCAAAAGATCCCATCAAGGTTTCAGGTACACACACGGGCTAGGGTGTGTGGGGAGAGGGGGAGAGGGAGGGAAAAGCAACTGGACTCCCATCCAAGGAAAGCCTCCGCCCCTTTCTCTGAGACTCAGCGTGGCACCCCAGCCTGGCATGTGGGCAGGGCAAGAAAGCAGCAAGCGCCTTCTCAAACTTACAAGGTTAAGCTTATAAGCAATCAATGAACAAAAAATTGTTAAAATGATACTGTGTAGCAATAGGGAGAGTGTGGTTAACAAGTAATTTCATGTTGATGGTGGGATGACAACTTGGCACAACTCTTGAAAGGCAATTTGATGGTATTCATCAAAGTTTAAAATGTGTCTTCTGACATGGCCAATCTACTAGGAATCTAAAAAAACTGGCATGGGCAAAAAGGTACAGGTTCAAGGATGCTTACTGCAACTTCACCTGTGACAGTAAAAGCTTGAAGCCAACACGGACAGTTGTCAGCAGGGACACGACTAAGCAAACCACAGCCCCTCCACTCCGAGGCCCGGCACATAGCGGGTACTCTGCTGAGTGAGTGAATGCAGCCACCAAAGGAGAGAGACAGAACTAAAAGTCTCCAAGATTTGTTATATGAAAAAGCAACTGGCAGAACAATGCACATAGTACGTCACTTTTGGTGTGCATATATACATACATATGTCCTAATATGCAGAGAAAATCCCTGAAGAACAATCCTCAGGGGTTACTGAGTGAAAAAAGCAACTAGAAGAACAATTACATATAGTATGAGCCCACATTTGCTTTTAAAAAAGTTATGTGTGCATGCACGCCTGCACATCAGAATTGATACAGAAAAAGTTTGTAAGAATACTCAACAAACCTAGCAGTTGTTCTTCTACAGAGGTGCCATTTTAGAGATACAGTTGTTAAAAGTTTTATGTCATATATGTCAGTATTTTATTAATTTGAAGAACCTAAAATACTTTTTTTTAAAATAAAGACAAATGCCTACAAAAACAAAAAACTCTGTGACGTCCACAGTATATTGACCAAAAATACACTGACAGAAATATTTATATTTGCTTCACAATATTTGTTTAGACTAGTATTTCCTTTCATTATAGTCTCTTTTCAAGGTGTTTGAGCCAGGGTGCCAGAACATAAAATACAATTAAATAAAATGTACTTTTGTAAACTTAAGAGACAAGGGGACAGAGGGCTCAGAGCCCATTTTCTGAGTGCTCTTCTCACTAGGCCCCTATAGACACATCTCCTCTACACTCCCAATGACCCACTGTCAAATGAAGGTCTAATTGGGACTCTTCCATAACGTCTCAGTGCTCCTGAAATGGAGGATTTGGCTCCTTCCCCCTGAGAGTTACCTCATCAGAGAGGCCTTCCTGGACCCAACTCAGGGAGGGACCCTGAACAGGCTGCACATTTCCAAGTGCAGCGCTCAGTGCAGCAATGCAGTCCTTCTGCAGTGGGCCACCTCCACTAGATGGCCAGAACTGAGGGAGGGGTCCACAGGCCCTGTTTACCACCACACCCATCATCCAGCTCAGTGGGGACTCAGTGCACAGCTGGTGAATGACAGCTCCTGTGAGGCAGGTACTAGTAGCCCTGCTTTAAAGGCAGCACACTGCTAACGCGGAGTTTCTAATCAACTGCTTGCCCTGAAGGCACCCAGGAAGGGTACAGTAATGACAGGAAACATTCTAAAGCCTCAGGTAGCCCCATAAACATTACCAAGCAGAGGCCGCCATGGCAGAGACCAGCCAGTGGCAGAACAGTACAGGAAGCATCGTCTCATTTCCATTTAAATACTATGTATATTTATATTTGCACAGGAAGAAGTCTAAAGGATGTGCAAACTGCCAATATGAGCTGTCTCTCAGAAGGCAAGTTGTTGCAGTTCTTATTGTTTCTATTCATAAAACATACAATTTTATACAGTTCTATATTTGATCAATTATATGAGCAGGTACTGCTTTTATAATAAAAAAAATATTTCCGTGAATGGTGGCATCCCCCTCTCTCCAACTCCACAGTAGCCTTGAAAACAAACAGCCCATGTCATGGTGAAAACCAATAGCCTGGCAGTTCATCTGAGGGATCAGAACAGAGTTGAAACTTCTTCAAAGCCTCATTCCAGAAAAATTTGCATTCTTCTACCTGCCCGGTATTTCCCTGGAAGACCTCACTTGCAAGGCTGTCTTTTATTGAGCTAACTAGGAGCTTGCCAAGTGCAAAAGGCATTACCCCAGGAGCATCTGTTGACAAAATTTAGACGCAATTGTTTAACTTCATGGCTGCCTGAGACAATGGATAACAGTTGGGGCAAACAATAGACTAATCAAAAAGCTTAAAAGAAAAAGCTGAGGAATAAGATGCACATAGATGCTTTGTAAAGCTCTGATATGTTCCTGGGAATCTAGAAGACCAGGCAACTGCATAGGGCTGTGTGCATGCCCATTGCTGTGTACATGCTTAGGAAGACCTGAGAAGGCCCTAAGTTTCCACCTCCTGCTGACCTTCATGCTCCATGCAAGCAGGAAGAGAAGGCTAAGGCAGAGTTGTCCACCACCTGAAGGAGTGTTGAAGGCCTGCCCCAACATGTACACAAAGCCCCTCAACAAAGACTGGGAGACATTGGTTCCAAGCATTTAAGGAAATCTCTGCACATCATCAGCTGACCACTAAGCTAATGGAGCAGAGATTTCAGAGGCCACATAGGACAAAGAATACAGATTTTAAAGAGCTAAAGGATACCAGGGACAAAAAACTAAAGGAAACCAGAACAATGTCACAACAAATAGACACAAAGATAAAAAGAGATATCTCAATAAGAAGATGTTATTGCTGTTAGTTGCCATCGCATTGGCTCCGACTCATGGCCACCTTATGTATAACAGAACGAAATACTGCCTGGTCCTGTGCCATCTTCATGATCATTGCTGTATTTGAGTCCCTTGAGTCAATTCATCTCATTGAGGGTTTCCCTCATTTTCAATGACCCTCTACTCTACCAAACATGATGTCCTTTTCTAGGCGTTGGTCTTTCTTGATGACATGTACAAAGTAAGTGAGACAAAAAGTCTTGCCATCCTCACTTCTAAGGAGCTTTTCTAGTTGTATTTCTTCTAAGACTGATTTGTTCCTTCTTCTGGCAGTATATTCAATATTCTTCACTAAAACCACAATTTGAACGCATCAATTCTTCGGCCTTCCCTTTTCATTGTCCAGCTTTCACATGCATATGAGGTGACTGAAAACACCATAGCTTAGATCAGGTGCACCTTAGCCATGAAAGTGACATCTTTGCTTTTTAAAACTTTAAACTAAAGAAGTCTTTTGTCAGAGATTTGTGCTATGCAATATATTTTTTTATTTCTAGACTGCTGCTTCTTGATTATTGATCCAAGTAGAATTAATCCATTGACAACTTCAATTTTTTCTCCATTTATCATGATGTTGTTTATCAATCCAATTGTGAGGATTTTTATCTTCTTCATGTTCAGGTGTAATCTATACAGAAGGCTGTAGTCTGATCTTCTTCAGTAAAGCGCTTCAAGTCATCTTCATTTTCAGCAAGAAAGGTTGTGTCATCTGCATATCACAGGTTGTTAATGAGTCTTCCTCCAATCCTGATGCCACATTCTTCTTTATATAGTCCAGATTCTTGGATTATTTGTTCAGCATACAGGTTGAATAAGTAAGGAGAAAAGATACAACCTTGCTGTACATCTTTTCCAATTTTCCCCTTGTTCTGTTCAAACAACTGCCTCTTCATCCACGTACAGTTTCTGTATGAGCACAATTAAGTGTTACAGAATTCTCATTCTTCATAATATTATCCATAATTTGTTATAATCCCCACAGTCAAATGACTTTGTGTAGTTGATAAAACACAGGTAAACACCTTTCTGGTATTCCCTCCTTTTGGCCAAGATTCATCTGACATCAGCAATGATATCCTTTGTTCCATGTGCTCTTCGAAATCCAGCTTCACTCTGGCACATGGCCTCCCTGGGTCTGCACCATTCCCATAGGCCAGTTTCCTCAGCGCCATATTTTTTATTTTTCTTTATCTTTCTCCTTCTCCTTTTCCTTCTACCTCCTGCCTAGGCCCTGCACTGCCTCTGCCCCTTCATGACGGGCCGTGCCATGCCACCCAGAGAGAGAGACATCAGCTCACTGCCACCCCAGTTCTGCCCCACCCCCAACAGCTGGCGACCTCACCATATTTCTTTTTTGTGGTTGTTTTTTATTTTTTTATTATTTATTTATTTGTTTCACTGTTGGTTTCTTCTCTCCTTTCTCCTGCACCTCGAGTGGCACAAGTGCAGATCACCAGATGCCGCCCTGTGCTGCCCCCTGCCCTCGTCCAGTCGACCCCAGTACATGCAGCAAACTACCCATCCCCACCCCTCCCCCTCTACTGGACCTGCCCTGCTGCACCATAGCTGAGCAACTGACCCTGCCCACCTGGACAAGGTGGTGAGAAGTATTGTACCCACAGACAAACAAACAACAAAGAACACCCAGCTGGCCTGCCCAAACATAACCAAATAAAACAAAAAAGCAGGATGAAACAAACAAATCTACGATCAATAAATGAAGAAAATAATTACTGAATGTCCCAAAGACAGGAGACAATATCAAAACATATTAAAAAAACAGGACAAGATGGTTCTGGTAGGCATTCAAAAGAAAATCCCAGATGACCTTCCGGTAGAAGAAAAGGCACGGGAACTACCTGATAGGGAAATCAAAACTCTAATATTCAGGGTTCTCCAACAGATGAAGGAAAATGCAGATAAAAATAAGGAAAAAATAAAAAACAGACAAAATCATGGAAAAGACAGACAAAAAAATGTAAGAAATCAGGAAAATAATACAGGAACAAAAT